CACAATGAGATACCATCTCACACCAGTTAGAATGACGATCATTAAAAAGTCAGGAAACAACAGGTGCTGGAGAGGATGTGGAGAAATAGGAACGCTTTTACACTGTGGATGGGAATGTAAACTAGTTCAACCATTGTGGAAGACAGTGTGGCGATTCCTCAAGGATCTAGAACTAGAAATACCATTCTACCCAGTCATCCCGTTACTGAGTATATACCCAAAGGATTATAAATCATGCTACTAGAAAGACACACGCACACGTATGTTTATTGCGGCACTATTCACAATAGCAGAGACTTGGAACCAACCCAAATGTCCATCAATGATAGACTAGATTAAGAAAATGTGGCACATATACACCATGGAATACTATGCAGCCATAAAAAAGGATGAGTTCATGTCCTTTGCAGAGACATGGATGAGGCTGGAAACCATCATTCTGAGCAAACTATCACAAGGACAGAAAACCAAACACTGCATGTTCTCACTCACAGTTGGGAACTGAACAATGAGAACACTTGGACACAGGGCAGGGAACATGATACCCCAGGGCCTGTTGTGGGGTAGGGGGCAGGGGGAGGGATAGCATTAGGAGAAATACCTAATGCAAATGACAAGTTAATGGGTGCAGCACACCAACATGGCACATGTATACCTATGTAACAAATCTGCATGTTGTGCACATGTACCCTAGAACTTAAAAGTATACTTAAAAAAAAAATTCTTAAGGTTGTGGGCTTCAAAAGGAAAGTGGGCTGTGCAGGAAGCAGCTTCTGCCTATCTGGTGAGTTCCTGAAAGTAAGGAAGTGAAGAGACAGATACAGGGAAGTGGAGCCCTGGTAGAGAAGGAAAGAAACACACATTCCACTGGACACTGCTGAAAAGGCATTTCTGATCCATTCCAGGATCCACCTCATGCCCAGGACTCCTAGGGAAGTGTGCAGACTAAACATTGACGTAAAAACACCCAGAGCACATATGTTTATTCAGAAAAAGGCAAATGGTGGTGGTTGTGAGATGGGCAGGTTGCGGTCCTATTGTGCAATTTTTGATATTTTGATATATGTGTAATACAGTTTTTCCCACTAATAAAATCTATTAACAGAACCCTGTGGCAAGAGTATTTCTCAAGTTTCCCTTAGTATTGAGAAATCAGCACGTACTACCTGAAAATACTCCCGGAACCTAATTATCCAGGGGAATTTATGATATAGTACATGAATTCTATGCCATATTACACATAATTACATGGTGACACTATCTTATAGTAGTGGCAGAGCATTTTACAGTTCATAAAGCGCTCTCATGTGTATTGTTTCATTCACTTTTCATAACACTCCCCACTCTCCCCTAGATGTTCTGGGCTCCGCTGTCCCTCATGCAAGCCTCCAGATACGACCCTGCAGCATCAAGGACAGCTCAACTCTACTTTCCTGGGCACCCGACACCTCCATTAGCAGACACTGATACCAAAGGATTTTTCTTTAAATAAACACATCACCAGGTTGGGTCATGCAATCACTGTCTTCTTCTCCAGTGAGGAATCAGGAACTCAGGAAGATCAAGAGACTTCACTGGCAGCCTGAATGTGCTCCCAGTAGATACATTCCACATTACAGACCACAGTGTGGTCCTTCCCTTCCTCCACAGCTGCACAGAAGAAATTTTACCTGAGAGTTCATCAGGCGAATGGTAGTTTTTGTGCCCACATCTTGCTGGAAGTTGGCTGTGGGTGCCCCATTAAACCTCAGGACTGCGTCATGATCATCTGTAAACCACAAAGAAACAGAAAAGAGGTGATGAGCACTGGCAATATGCAGAAAAAGAGAAAGTAAGGGGAGGGGGCAAGGGAATAATGCTTCCACATCCTAATCCACAGGGCGAAATGGCAATATTTGTGTGGTGCTCAGGTAAAGCTCCTAGGCAGAGATGACCTGTCTGCCAGCCACTGTAAGGGCTGAAGGGGTCCATACTGTGGCATTCCTGAAGCCCATTCAAAGACACTCACTTGTGCCTGGGCACAGCAGAAAAGTGAACAAAGCCAGTGTGCTACTTACAGTGGAATAGCTACTCCAGTTATCAAAGCAACAAACCAAATATTCTCTTGGTATCACCAGTAGATTATATTTCTATATCTGTCCGAAAAATGAAAACACTACCATAGGTTCAGTGTATCCCACAAGTGCAAAGGACCCCATTGCACTCTGAAAAGCATGCAGTGCTCAGCAAACGGATGGGATTTAACTATGGCATCCAAGACAACCCCCAGGTGTTCCATTTAGGAACCTGAGGCCCAGGGAAGAGTCACAGACCTGGTGTGGCAGAAATGGAAGAGGACGTCACAGGTCTAAACTAACTTCCTTCCTTCCTTTTCTTCCTTTCTTCTTTTCTTCCCTTCCTTTTTCTTTCCTTTTCCTTTCTTTCTTTCCTCTTTCTTTCCCTTCCTTCCTTCCTTCCTTTTCTCCCTTTCTTCCTTTCTTCTTTTCTTCCCTTCCTTTCTTCTTTTCTTTTTCTTTCCTTTTCCTTTCTTTCCTCTTTCTCTTTCTTTCTTCCTTTCTTCTTCCTTTCTTCCTTTCTTCCTTCCTTCCTTTCTTCCTTTCTTTTTTCATTCATTCTTTCTTTCTTTTTCTTTCTCTTTCTTTCTTTCCTCTCTCTCTCTTTCTTTGCCATTGTCAGAAACGATGTACTAAATCCAGTCAAAATCAAACAGACCATCTTGAAAAACCTAAGCTTCCTGGGCTAGCTCCTTGTCTTTGCAACTGTTTAAGCAGTGTTTGGAAGACTTGGAAAAGTTTTTCTACCCAACGTTGACCAATCTGGTGGAGGAGGGAAGACTTTAAGGAGCCATTCCAACCCTGTGATCCTATGAGAGCTTCTTCCAATCTTACTTAGTCAAGCAAGTTTGGGGCTCACCAGTGAAATCTGCACTGCAGCTGGAGGTCAGCTGCATCCTCTATTGTTCTATTCAGGTTTGTTTTGGGTCATCCATCCACACAGGATCTGGGGAGGTGAGGGCATTTGACTGAATACAAGATGATTTAGAAAGAGGATATCCACAGAATTAAGAATGAAAGCCTCTCTCTCTCAGTTCCAATGTATGTACTAAACCCTAGGAACACAGAAACCTCAGTCATGAAAACACAACCCTATCCTCAATCCTAGGGCAAAATTTCATCGAAATGGTTTGAAAATTACCTGAGAAGGGCACAGTCCCAACTCTTATCATCTTACAGGGCAGGTACACTGAAGTGCACATAGGGCAGGAGGTATATCTTTACACAACTCAGAATTATAACCCATTTTGTCATAATCAGTCACTGCTTCGAAAGAAATTAGTAGCAATCGCATGAGAAACACAGACCCATCAGAAACTTTAGTCAACTTTCCTATTTCACAGATGAATAAATTATTGGTGAGAATCCCAGTAGAAAAGAGATGAGAAGTTCCAACAGAGTAACTGAGAGATTCATAAAAGGACTACTTACCAAGTTGGGGTAGAGTTTAAAGAAATCAACATGGAATAGGCTAAAGCCCCAGCGTTGATGACTGCATGGAGTCATTACTACCCCTGGTCTACTGTGGCCTGATGAGCACAGACCCTGAGCTGAGGAGGGACACCTATCGGGAGCTGTTGCCTTTAGGAGAGGAACACAGCTATTGCCAACCTCCAACCAGCAAGAAGGGGTCTGGGGGAGTCAATATCCCAACCTGGCTCTGCTCCTTCCCTTGGATCTCACAGACCTGAAGGGAAAAGGGAGAGAGCAGGACCAAGACGGGAGGGCCTCCTGGCAGGATCTGACACCTTCAGTCAAGAAAAAGACTCAGCTTGCGTTTACTCTGCAAGGCGAAACATGGCCAAATAGGTGCCCTGACCTTAGTCTTCTTCTCAGCTTAATGCCAGTGCTTCTCCTGGCCAGTCCCAAAGAAAACCCAGAGAGTGAATAATGCCAGTTAACACAGTTCAAAATTTTAATTTCTGTGCTGGGTGCAGTAGCTCACGCCTGTAATCCCAGCACTTTGGGAGGCCGAGGCAGGTGGATCACCTGAAGTCAAGAGTTCAAGACCAGCCTGACCAACATGGTGAAACCCCGTCTCTACTAAAAATACAAAAATTAGCTGGGCATGGTGGTGTGCGCCTGTAATCCCAGATTCTCAGGAGGCTAAGGCAGGAGAATCGCTTGAACCCAGGAGGTGGAGCTTGCAGTGAGCCGAGATTGTGCCACTGCACTCCAGCCTGGATGACAGAATGAGACTATTCTCAGAAAAAAAAAAAAAAAAAATTTCAATTTCTCAGGGACAGAGCCAGATGGAAAAGGGTGAGAGTGGGATTTGGAGGTGCAACTGGAGAACATCCCACACAGAAGGCTTAGGTTAGAGCGGATGCTTGATGTTGACCATAAGAAAGGAGAATTGTTTTGCTCACTCAACAAATACTGACTGAGCACCTACTCTATGCCAGGCACAGTTTTAGACATGGGAGACGACGGCTGTGAGCAACAAAGACAAGGTCCAAGCCATCAGAGATATGACATTCTACTGCACGGAGATAGACAATAAAGACACACAACAACCTACATAAAAGATAATTGCAGATTGTGACAAATACTGTGAAACCAACAAGCTGAGCTGTGTGCCAGAGACACTGAGGGAATTTCCTTCATAGAGTGATGACTCAGGGAATGCCTTGGAGCTGAGATGCAAAGGATGGCCAGACTTGGGAAGGGTTCAGAGAAGTCCACTAGCCAGAGGATGCAGCAAGTGTCAGGACCACAGCGAGGGGAGGAACTTGACTGTAGACAAGGAGTTAGGGGAAAAAAAAATCAAAGATGCAGTTACAGAGGTTGGCAGGAACCAGATCGTACGGGGACATGGGGGCCCAGGTATGCAGTTTGGACGTGATTCTAAGAAAAAAGCCAATCAGGCCGGGCGCGGTGGCTCACACCTGTAATCCCAGCACTTTGGGAGGCCGAGGCGGGTGGATCACCTGAGGTCAGGAGTTCAAGACCAGGGTTTGCTGACCCCTGATATAACTGATCATGTTCTCCAAACTACTCAGTTCACAGGTGTCTTCTCAGTCCTTATTCTGCCCAAGAATATATCCCACCTCTGCAGACTTTGATACCAACAGCCAACATCCCTCAAACTATATCCCCCTTTGCCTTCCATTGTATTGTGCACACCTAGTTCTCCTCTAGCCGGTCTCTGACCCTTCTGACTTTTCCTGCTTATCCCTGTTCTTTTATTTGTCCTTTAAATGTAAACCTTTTCCTAGGTTTTCTAATTGGTCGTCTTCCCTGGATTATAACCATTATCTCACCTTGATACAAATGACTTCTAAATCTGTCTCGACATCTGACCCTTCTCTAGAATTAAATACTCGACAGCATAGATATTTACCCAGCGCAATCTACACACACTTCAGTGTCAGAACATCCAAAGCGGAATGTGCGTTCCTCTGGAAGCCTGCTCCCCCTGGTAAGATACAGCCTGCTCCCAGGCGAGACATCCTGGCTCCTGCCTCTCACTCAAGATCATTTCCAGCTAGATAGTAAGTTCTGCCTCTTACTTCATGAAGCCTCTCAAGTAAGGTCCTTTCTCTCCATCACGGCTACCACAGCCCGGGCAGGCCTGGCACTTCTGACCTGGATGTGGCAATAGTGCCTGATAATGGAGATATTATACAGTACAAAACAGGGACTCATAGAGTATAAGTGAGAAATCTCCCTTGTTCAGAAACCTTCTAGGGCTCTCCATGGCTTAAAGAAGGAAACCTAAAGTCCTTATTGTGACTGTCAACATTCTCCAAGAGCTAATGCCTAGCTACCTTTCTGGCCTCGTTCCTCACCCGTCTTCACCCACAAGGCCCCACATGCCATCCAAACAGGATTATTTGTGATGCCCAAACACACGGGGCACTTTTCCCCATGCAGCCTTTGCCTTAACTCAGAATATCCTTCTCTTCTTCTCTAGGACAGCTAATAGACAGGAATATAAGAAATTTTTTAACATAACAAAAGAATAATCACACCAAATTTTATTACGAAGCTACAATTATTACGAGGCACAACAGCAGAGGCGCTAAGAGTGGAGTCTTTGAAGCAAGCACTCTGCTTCCAAACCCCAGTCTGCTATTAGCCAGTGGTGTAACCACTTGAGCCTCTGCATTTAGCTCTGCAGCAAAATGAGACCAATTATCTTATCAACCTCACAGGACTTCTGGGAGGATGAAAAGAGCAAGGCATGTTATGCACAGCAGATGCACAATAAGCATCAGTTATATTAATGATAGTGTTTTAAAATTATGCTACTGTTTAACATGAAAATTCCAGCAAATCTAAGATACTTAACATGTATGAGTAAACTATCAAAAATAACTGAAAATGACTGAGCCCACCATTGGCTGGTTTGTGAGACTGCTGGAGGCAGAGTATGTTATTACACTCTCTCTGATAGAAAATCTTGCTACGGACAAAAAAAAAAAAAAAAAATCATAAAATGTCTCTTACTCGTGTCTTCTAGCCTCACTTCTGAGGATATTTCCCTGTTGAATGTCAACAGTGGTCACCTAAGTTATCTGCACAAAAACCCTGCTTGTCAGCAATGTTATTTGTAAAAGAAAACCATTTGAAATAATCTGATCCATTCAATAACTGGGAAGAGACTCAACAAATTCCAGATGCAGGAGGAAGTGTATGGGCCTGGCACGCTGCCTGCAACTCAGGCTTCAACAAAGGGCCTTTCCTTTCCCCCTCCCCTTCCCCTTTGTATTGTTGATGAATCCATGAATAAGTAAAAGAATACATGAATGAATGTCTTAAAATATTTGTTAGACAAAATGCCAAGAAGATATATACCCTATAACAGCAGAACATTCGAAGTCTAACATGTAATTTTTATTACATCTCAGAATCAAAGTCCTTCTGTGGAAATCCTTATTTTGAAGTTGAAACTGCAGTCTATAGAAAAATATTATTTTTATTATTAATGTTTATTTAAACCACTCTAAACCTTTAAGGAGTTCATAAAATTAAAGCTGTAGTTCCAGTTCACAGAGGTATCAGGCCCTGTCTCAAACTTCAGTATAATTTCAGCCAGGCACGCAATGTTAACTTTGACATGAAGAACAAGGATCAGCTAATACCTAGGATATCCCAAAAATAAGCAGCAAAAATGGAGAAGAAAGAAAGAAACTTCGCTCCATTATGGATGAACAAAAACCAATCACATTTAGTTTCTTGACAACAAAGTCCAAGAAAAAACAAAAGTACAGAAGCAAAAGTTGAGGTGGGGCTGGCCAGCAGGGCAGCTGCCTATTTGGGGAGGTAGAAACTGTGATCTCACCATTTATTTCTGCTCTGGAGAATCCAATTTGGGCCTACTTTTCTTCTTTGAGAGCCTGTTCTGGGTTTCAGACCATTTTTCCTGGCAATCCAATGAAGGAAATAAAAAAGGAGACGTATGACCTCACCTGCTCCAGTACCTCCAGGCTGACAGGGGAGCACAGCTTCCTGTGCTTTGCTTTCTTTAGCTGATTCATTTCAAATAATGGAAAACACATTCAGCATAAGAGAAATAAGGCTCTCTGTTACACAGGTTTACAAATACAGAGAGACTTTCTATCTTGATTCACTACAAAGGGTTTCAAGAAAAGCAAATTAATATATTGTGACCAGTGACTCTGAAACCATTTTGGGTCACAGATCCCTTAGAGAATAAACTGCAATCTACAAGCTCCCTTCCTGGAAAAATGCACAGACACACATACACATATACATACACATACACATATACATATACATACCTACACATGTACATATACATATGCATATACATACATACACATACATGTACATGTACATACATATATACATACATATATACATATACATACATATACATATACATACACACACGTACATATAGATACACATATACATACACATGCCTACACATGTACATATACATACACATACATACACATACATGCACATGTACATATACATACACATACATGTACATGTACATACACATATACATACATATATACATACACATGTACATATACATACACATACACACACACTCACACACACACACACACACATTATACACACCTAATCCACAGATATTTTTACGTGCAATCGCAGGGATTTATGACCCTCTGAAGTTGGTCCATAGCCCCCAGTTAAGACTTGCTGACCCAATTAAATCTTTTCAAAGAGAAAAGCTGAAAATTACCCAGGTTGTTGAGGCCAATAGAGTCCTCCATTAATCAGGTAAAACAACAGAATTTCAGAACCTGGAAATGATGTAGAGATCTATGCTTCAAGTCTTTTCAAAGGTCAATTGTAGGCTTTTGATTATTGGTAGCAGCGGAACTCTCTTTTCAGATGAAATCTTCTGCACAATTCCAATATTTAAAACAGAACAAAATAAAACTATTCTGTTCCCATCACAAAGAAGCAATAAATGTTCAAGGTGGTAGATATTCTAATTACCTTGATTGGATCATTACACATTGAGTACATGTATCAAAATATCCCCATAAATATATATAATTATTATATATCAACTAAAAATATTAGGAAACAATAATGAAACTCTTCAAATTGATAAAGATGCTGGGGGCCTAGAGTGCCATCTGTTCAACTCCCTCTGTGTCACTTGTGACTCTGAAAAAAACACTGCCCTGGGCCCACTCCACCGGTCCACTGAGCCACACTTGGGCCACTTGTCTCCCATACCATCAATATGCCCAGCCAGTCCCAATAAGCACTGCCATTCACAGAACAAGCCCAGAACATACCGATTTCTCTGCCTAGTTGGGAGGACTTCAGAGATCCCGCTGACGACACAACAGCACACCTGCCCCAAGGCCCAGCCTTGGTCCTAATACTGTCCTTGGGCAGATAACCCTCCCATTCAGAGGTATTGAAGGGAAAATCTGTGGCCTCTACCATGGATACATTCACGTGGTCCCGGAGGTGGCAGCGCAGGGCCTCTGCACTGAACTTGATGCCTGGTCCTGGCCCCTTGTAGGACACTTTGTACTTGTTCATGCTTAGGTAATTCTTCCAGATCTTTTGCAGCCTAGGGATAAGGTTTTTGGAAGAGCTGTCCTTGTTCCACACCTGGAAGAAGGCCTCTGGTTTGGCCTTGGGTATGTCTCTGAGACTGCCGAGGGCCTGGCGGCCCCTGTGGGGGTCCTGGGTGCTGCTTGAGGATACAGACTGGGAATCAGACCCCATGGCCAATTTCCCCAGACTCTTCAACACCTGGAATTCCTTGGTTTGCAATTTGAAGGAATCATAGTAACTCCCTTTCTTCTTTTCCTTCCACACACAGATGACTGCAAACAGAAGAAAGACCAGGACACAGCAGCTGAACTTCTTCTTCAAGTTGGTGTGAATCATAATGAAGATGTGTTCAGGGAAGCCACTTTGTTCCGAGCAGGAAAACAAGCCTAAAAAAAGTGAGACAAAGAAAACACAAATGATGTGAAGAAAAACCCAATGTGGCATGAGGTGGAGCGATGGACTGATCAATAGATTTCAAGTGAGGTGACTTGAACTCCAGCCCTGGTCTACCTCCTAGCCACCTCTGCAGCCTGTAAGTAATTCTTGACAAAAGTCAGCCTCAATTTGGACTTTGAATGTGGACAGTAGTCCCTCGGACACTCCCCTCTTCCTCTTGAGCCATGAACACTTTATTATATGTCCTCCTATCATTACTTTTTCTATGCTGAACCTTAGTTTCTGATTGCCTTTGTCTACCTCCCTGACTGCACTCTGAGTTTCTTGAAGTCAGAAACCACATCTTGCAAATCATTCGGTTCCTAGGGCCTTTCAACATGTGTTAAATGAAGCCATGCAGCTTGGAAAAACAAAAACAAAAAAACAGAATACAAAAGAGCAGGCTGACTGTTTTACATCACCAAACCTAAACTTTCTAAAATAGTAAGTGGCCAACACACCTTCAAAATAGCCAGAAAAAGACTTCTCGTTATAGATGATGCCATAGACTTATGATGCAACTCTCTAAGGGCTGCGATGTTGGACTCCTGCATGAGAAGATCAGGGGTTATCTCCACCACATAGTTTCGTGCAGTACCCTGCAAGAAGAGCACTACGGAGACAGGAAGCTGACTCACCTCATGATAGAGGCTAGGAAATCTAGGTAAGATAGCAGACATGCAGCCAACTAAGGAAATGGAAACAAAAATTCATTAAGCATGCTAGATGTTACTTCACTTAACTTCGCCATAACCAGGGCCACCATGAGACACAACTCTGGGGGCACCAAGCATAGCATAATCTAATATGAAGGGCATCTCCTAACCTAAAGGTGTTATCATCTCCATTTTATGGATTAGCAACCTGAGGCTCTGAAAAGTCAAGGGAAGTGTCCAAGCTCACAGAGCTGAGGAAATGGTTGCACTGAGGTTCAAATCCAAGTGGACTTGATTCCATAACCCATGACCTTTCCACTACAACATGCACAGAACTGCAAAAAGCTCTGGAAAATAGATTTCATTGAGCAAATAGAGCCTGAATTGTCCTCTTTATTTCTGGGTAAACACCTACTTTGTTTTCTCAGAATTTATTGTGTAACTGAATGGAAACTGGAAGTACTTTGAACTCAAATAATGTCTGTATCTTTTGGAAAACATTACATTCTTTCCCCATTCACTGGGTTTATTTACAATAGTGAATCAAAGCAATCACCTCCGGGATTTTGCTAACCCACTAGGGATCTGAGGTCTCTTCCCATGGATCCTGCTTCTGTGGATATCAGGAAAAGGTAGTAGTAGTACTGGACTGGGTGTTCACAAAACCTGGGCTCTTATCCCCATTCCTGGTGACCTCGGACAGGTCACTTAATATTTCTGCTCCTGAGTTTTTTAGAATAATTCTCTCTGCCCTATGTGATTTGCAAAGTGTCGGGAGCACAAAACAAGAGGATGGTATTCATTGGATTTGAACAAGGTAAGCAAAAAAGCACAGGAGGTATTCTGAACAGAGACAGCAGCAGCTCAGCCTGGGGACCATGTGGAGGTGATGGGGAATAGTGAAGACGGTGGTGTGAAGCCGCAGCCATAACTCAGCAGCCCCGAGCTCCAGGCTCTTCCCTGGGAACTCCTTCACGAACTGACATCCAGCTCATTCCTGGACTCCATTGGCAGTACCAACCAAAGCAGTGCTTCCACCATCCCAGACCTCAGGAACCAGTGGCTCTGGGAATGATGGGTTCCTATCTTGGACTGCTGAAGTTGTGGAAATGATTAAATGCACACAGTGGAAGAAGAATTCAGATATAAGATCATGAGGTGGAGAGTGGAAGCTTGTATTACCAGAAACTAAGGAATTCAATTTCCACAGATACCCAACACAGGTAATCACATGACCATATGACAGCTGAAGAAAAACCAGAGAAAAGAAGGCAAGTAGCATTTAAGGAGGGCCTACTACATGGTAGTCACTTTCCTTGCAATATCTCATTGAACCTTTACCACAACACTATGATAGAGTTATTGACAACCCTATTTTAGGAAATGAAAAAACTGAGGCTTAGCAAGGTTCTAGGGTCTCTCTAACGTCAACAGCAAATCAGTTCTAGAACCAGAATTCCAGCCCAGGTCTATCTGACTCTAAAAGTTCATCATCTTTCCACCCAAGGACATGCATCTGTGATAAGGGGCAGTGAAAGTCAGTGTGATCAAGTCGGACTCAAGGTCACTAGAGAGGCAACTTGATCTGTCAGACAGTGGCAGACAAGCCTGCCATCCCTGCTGTGCACTGTGTTATCACTCAGGGGGACTTTCCGTATTAAGGTTTCCATATTAGTAAGGTTTTACAGACTTACTATAGGCAGCAGATTTTATGAGCTCCATTTATAGCTGAGTATTGTGAGGTTTGGAAACACAAGTAACTTTCAAAGTTGCATGAGTGATTTGGAAATAGTGGACTTGGAACTTGACTTTGACATGTCTGAATGAAACAACATGGCAGGAAGGGCCTGATTCACTGTCACAGGACTGGAGGCTCAGGGAGCCGCTGCCCAGTACCTACTCTCCAAGGTGTGGTTTCCCAGGAAAGAAGAGTTCCTCCAAATAGCTGGGTCCAACGACAGTCTTGCAACCATCAGATGGCCTCAGCCTTCACAGCCTGTGCCCTGTCATGGCCTCAGGGCACTCATCTGAAATTCCACATCAGGGCTCTTGTGGTCCCTTGACACCACCCTTGGTTGAGGCTCCAAGTCCACCAGGTAGCTAGAGTTTCTGGTCACAGGCACTTATAACTGCAAGACCCTCTCTCATCTCTCAAGTTGTTTGAAGAAGGCAGAGTCCGAAGAAGCTTTCACTAAATGGTGCAACTGAGGGAAAAGAGTAGCAAACTTTTCTCTATAAATGTTTTGGAAAAACAGACCAAGCTTTGAATTTTCCAATCACACCAGACTGTGTTCTTAAGCATCCAGGTGTCTGCACTGACTGCACCCTTTCTCCTTGTCCATGTGCTTCCCAGCTCTGACAGCATCACCTTTCTGTTTCTGAAGGTCAGTGGAGGCCACCTCCCCCTCTGCACTAGCCTTGTTCCCCTTTGCTGCCAGCCAGTGCTCTGTAATGCTTGCTTTACATGCCGGACTTTGCTGCTAAAGGAAAACTTCTCCCGGCATCCTTTCTGAAACCCTAGTACCCAGCACAGTGCCTGCGCCAGAGCGGATACTCAAAGAAAGATTACTGAACTGATGCAATTTTATAAGACAGTCTTTACAATCATCATGAGGCTCCTAGAGGAAGAAGACAGCAACTTGCATTACCACCGTCAAAGAACCGGCCAACACTGAACCAGCAGAAATCAATGCTCAAAGCAAGGAAATCCTGTCCCGACCCACCCATCACGACATACTCAATACCAGTTGCATTTGTGGCACGTAGTAGGAACTCAGAACGGTTGACTGAAATACAGAATAACTTAAATCTTATAGTTAATAGAAATGCACAAGCCATTTCTCTATACCCCACAACCAAACCCAAATTGAATCAGCAGTTAAAGAGGACTAAAAAATGTATACAAAAAGAAAACAGCAAAGCTGTAGCCAGATACTGAGATCCTGAGATTCCCTGTCAGCACATCTGCCACACCAGCTTTTACTCAGGAATGTACCCCTTTGCTAGCCCATGCCTCTGTGTGTTCCTTACCTGCTTCTGGTTAATCCCCCAGGGGCTGCAGGCCCTTCAGGTCCTCAGGAATTAGCACTATTCTCCATGGGAGGGAAGATTTATTGGGTCTGGAGGCCAAGGCCCATTTTTCTCAGGATGATCAAAACTCATCTGCAAAGGCAAAAAACAAGAGAGAGAAAGAGAGAAGGTGAGCGCTGTTTTCCAGCAGAGGCAGGGTTAAACATTAACAAGATGGAAAGGTGCCTCTGCAGAGCTAGGCTAGGTCTCAGCCCAGGAAACCTCCAGGGCTCAGGAAAAAAAAAGAGAGAAAAGCATATTAAAGGTGCAATGCTCTGGATCTGTGAACAGCACAGATAGCCTAGAAATAGACTTGACACCGGCTGGGTGCGGTGGCTCACGCCTGTAATCCCAGCACTTTGGGAGGCTGAGGCGGGCGGATCAGGATCATGAGGACAGGAGATCGAGACCATCTTGGCTAACACGGTGAAACCCCATCTCTATTAAAATACAAAAAAAAACTGGCCAGGCATGATGGCGCCTACCTGTAGTCCCTGTAGTCCCAGCTACAAGGGAGGCTGAAGCAGGAGAATTGCTTGAACCCGGGAGGTGGAGGTTGCAGTGAGCCGAGATCATGCCACTGCACTCCAGCCTGAGCGACAGAGAGAGACTCTGTCTCAAAAGAAAGAAAAAAAAAATGAAAGAAATAGACTTGACACCAGATAAGAATGGGCTAGAAAGCTAAAGCTGCCACCATGGACCAACCCGGGAAGAACAGATTGTTTAATCGCTGGTTTGGAGATAAATAGGGAGCAATTAGGTCCATCCTGAAATAAACTTCAGACAGATTTTCAAAAAATTATTTATTTTCAAAGAATATTTAATAATATATGAAAGTTCAGTCAGTATAATTGTACCTGAAAAAATAGGCTATAAAACTGTAAATACTATCCAAATTCAGAAAAAAAAAAAAAAAAAAAACACATTTAAAAAAATGTGAAAAAGTACTAGAAAAAAGTACACCCAGAATGGTAAGAATAATAGATGTTTTCATTTTTTATCATTTGACATATATTCCAAAATTTCTAAAATGTACATTCATTATTCTTTGACTTTGAAAAAATGTACAAAAGTATAAAAATATAAGTTTAGAAAGCTAAAAATAAGCCAGGCATGCGTGCCTGTAGTCCCAGGTATTCAGGAGGCTGAGGAGGGAGGATCATTTGAGCCCAGGAGTTAGAGGCTGCAGTGAGCTATGAGCGCCACTGCACTCCAACCTAGGTGACAGAGTGAGACCCTGTCTCTAAACAAACCAACAAAAAACAGCTAAAAATATAATTATATACTTGTCAGCTCTTTCTTCCTTTGATGCAATGTAGGAAAACAGCAAAGGAAAAGTTTAATACATTCAGTTGCAAGAAAATTTCAACATCTATACAATGAAAAATACTGTAACTACAATAAAAAGGAAAAGTCAAAATATAAAAAGGATTAATGTAGTAAAAGTTTCCCAAAATAAAGAGGCAATCAGTGTGAACAGACATATCACAAAACAAAAAGCACAGTTAAGAAGCATATAAAGTTATGGTTAATCTTGAGAGAAACCCAAGAGGGGCAACTAGAATACTAAAAAACTAGTTTATAGAATTTACATTAGTCAGCAGTTTTCTACATAATACTCGTTGCTGGACAGATTATAATTAAACTGATACACATTCAAAGGATCATATAAATTAATTTAACCTTTCTAGAATGTATTCAGGCCATAGAATTAACAGCTCCTGGCTATGGACCACGTACTGTACTTCTAGGAAGCAAGAGTGAATAAATAAATAATTCAAAAGTAAAAAAGATTATACACTTCAGTTTCCCCACATGTAAAATGATTCTCTACATTACATAGTTGTGATGACAGTTGAAAGAGGATTAATGAGATAAAGAATGAGTTCTATAAAGCAATAGGCATACAAAGAAGAAAAGGTTTTTTTTTTTTTTAATAATTTTAACTTTTATGTTAGATTCAGGGGGTACATACGCAGGCTTGTTACCTGGGTATACTGCACAATGCTGAGGCTTGGGGTATGACTGATCCTGCCATGCAATTACTGAATAATTAGTTTTTAAACTCTTTCCCCTGTCTCCCCCATCTTGTAGTGCCCAGTGTTTATTATTGCCATCTTTATGTCTATCAGTATTCATTGTTTAGCTCCCACTTATAAATGAGAACATATGGTATTTGGTTTTCTGTTCCTGCATTATTAATTTGCTTAGGATAATGGCTTCCAGTTGCATCCATGTTGCTGCAAAGGGCATGGCTCTGTTCTTTTTCATGGCTGTGTAGTATTCCATGGTGTATATGTACCACATTTTCTTTATCCAATCCACCACTGTTGGGCACCTAGGGTGATTCCATTCTTTGCTATTCTGAATAGTGCTGCAATAAACACACAAGTGCATGTCTCTTTTTGGTAGAAACATTTATTTCCTTTTGGATATATACCCAGCAATGTGATTGCTGAGTTAAATGGTAGTTCTGTTTTTAAGTTTTCTGAGAAATCTCCAAACTGCTTTTCATGGTGGCTGAACTAATTTACATTCTCAACAACAGTGTGTAGATGTTCCCCTTTCCCTGCAGCTTCCCTAGCATCTGGTGATTTTTGACTTAATAATAGCCTTTCTGACTGATGTGAGATGGTATCTCACTGTGCTTCTGATTTGCATTTCTCTAATAATTAGTGATACTGAGCATTTTTCATATTTGTTGGCAGCTTATATGCATCTTTTGAGAATTGTCTGTTCATGTCTTTTGCTCACTTTTTAATGTTGTTATTTGTTTTTTTGCTTGTTCAATTGTTTAAGTTTCTTATAGAGATTCTGGATATTAGACCTTTGTTGGATTCATAGCTTGCAAATATTTTCTTCCATTCTGTAGGCTGTCTGTTTATTCTGTTGATAGTTTCTTTTGCTGCACAAAAGCTCTTCAGTTTAATTACTTCCCACTTGTCAATTTTTGTTTCTGTTGCAGTTGCTTTTAAGTACTTAGTCATAAATCCTTTCCCAAGGTTGATGTCCAGAATGGTGTTTCCTAGGTTTTCTTCTAGGATTCTTATAGTTTGAGGTCTCACATTTAAATCTTTAATTGATCTTAAGTTAATTTTTGTATATGGTATAAGGAAGGGATCTAGTTTCATTCTTCTGCATACAGCTAGCCAGTTATTCCAGCATCATTTATTGAATAGGGTGTTCTTTCCCCATTGCTTATTTTTGTTGACTGTGTTAAAGATCAGATGATTATAGGTATGTGGCTTTATTTCTAGGTTCACTATTCTGTTCCATTCGTCTACGTGTCTGTTTTTGTACCAGTACCATGCTGTTTTGGTTACTGCAGCCTTACGGTGTGGTTCTAAGTCAGGTACTGGAATACTTCTGAGTTTGTTCTTTTTGCTTACAATTGCTTTAGCTATTTGTACTCTTTTTTGGTTCCACATGAATTTTAGGATAGTTTTTTTCTAGTTCTGTGAAAAATGACATTGGTAGCTTGGTAGGAACAATGTTGAATCTACAGATTGCCTAGGGCAGTGTGGCTGTTTTAATGATATTGATTCTTTCACGCCATGAACACGAAATGTTTTTCCATTAGTTTGTGTCATCTATAACTTCTTCCAGCAGAGTTTCGTAGTTCTCCTTGGAGGGATATTTCACTTCTTTGATTAGATGTATTCCTAGGTATTTAAAATTTTGTTGCAACTATTATAAATGGGATTGTGTTGTTGATTTGACTCTCAGCTTGAAAATTACTGGTTATGGAAATGCCACGAATTTTTATACACTGGTTTTTTATCCTGAAGCTTTGCGGAAGTCGTTTATTAGTTCCAGAAGCCTTTTGGCAGTGTCTTTACAGTTTTCTAGGTATAGAATCCTATTGTCAGCAAGGAGAGACAGTTTGTGTTCTTTTCCTGTTTGGATGTCTTTTACTTCTTTCTCTTGTTTGATTGCTCTGGACAGCACTTCCAATACGATGCCGAATAGAAGTGGTGAGAGTGGGCATCCCTCGTTTCAGTTCTCAGGGAGAATGTTTCCAGGTTTTACCCATTCAGTATGATATTGACTGTGGGTGTGTTATAGATGATTCTTATTATTTTGAGGTATGTGCCTTTGATGCCTAGTTTCTTGAAGGCTCTTATAATGAAGGGATTTTGAATTTTATCAAAATCTTTTTCTGCATCTATTGAGATGATCATATGGCTTTTGTTTTTAATTCTGTTTATGAGGTGAATCACATTTATTAATGTGTCTAGGTAAAACCAACCTTCCATCCCAGGAATGAAGCCTACTTGATCACAGTGAGATAACTTTTTGATGTCCTGCTGGATTCGGTTTGCTAGTATTTTGTTGAGGATTTTCACATCTATTTTCATCAGGGATATGGGCCTGTGGTTTTCTTTTTTTACTGTGTCTTTGCCAGGTTTTAATATCAGGGTAATGCTGGCTTCATAGAATGAGTTAGAAAGGGATCTGTCTGCCTCACTTTTTTGGAATAGTTTCAGGAGGACTGGTACCAGCTCTTTTTTGTACGTCTGATAGAATTTGGCTATGAATTTATCTGGTCCAGGGCTTTTTTTGATTGGTAAGTTTTTCATTACTGACTCAATTTCAGAACTTGATATTGGTATGTTCAGGTTTCAATTTCTTCTTGATTCAATCTTGAAAGATTATGAGTTTCCAGAAATGTGTCCATTTCTTCTAGATTTTCTACTTTGTGTGAACAGAGGTATTAATGATAGTCTCCAAAGATCTTTCATATTTCTGTGGGATTAGTTGTAATGTCGTATTTGTCATTTCTGATTGTGATCATTTGTATCTTCTCTCTCTTCTTCTTTGTTAATCTAGCTAATAGTTTACCAAACTTGTTTATCCTTTCAAAGAACCAACTTTTGGTTTTGTTGATTCTCTGTATGAATTTTTGAGTCTCAATTTTGTTCAGTTTTGCTCTGATTTTAGTT